GGGGGGGGGGGTTCAGGGGTTTGCTTCCGCTTTGAACATTTTAGTCAATACAAGAACAGCCTCGGGTGCAGTTTTTGTGGGCTCTAGCTGGAGCCCATTAAGACAGCCGGGGGAGCAGTAAACAGCCTGGTACCAACTACTCTGGTGAAAGGCTGACTGGTTTCGGGTACATGTCTGAAGTTAAGTTGGAAGGTGCCCAGCAAGGCCTTTAGCCACTGAGCCACATTCGTCGTCGAGCATAGGCAAGGGAACGGAAAGGGGAGAGTTTCCGATGGTAACTCCCGTTTGTATTCCGAGTGCTGGCTATCAGTACTGCGTGATGAAAAAGGATGAAAATTCTGCGGGTTCATGAAAATGACTGAAGCCTGGGTGATCGTTGATAAAGTTCAATGCTCACTCATAAACTCGTGGGTATCTCACATGTGAAGCAAGATGGACAGCAGACAATTGGTTCAAATAAGAATGCATTTCTAATCATTTTTTGGGAAATTTTGGTGGCTGAGTTTCTTTTTTGACCCCTTCTTTTAACCATTCAGAGAAAGAGGGCTTAGAAGAGCACCGTTGGTTGAGCTGTGTAGTTTAAAGACAGCTGACCAAACGCCCATCTCAGTCTGCTCAAGCCGTATCTCGGTGTGAAGGATATTTTGAGGTATCCAAGCAATTGATTTGAAGTTGGTCATGATACACGTATAGCCGCGTTAAGACATTTCGAGGTTGCCGCGCGTGGTGACCAGCCTCAGCGCGGCTGCCGCGATGGTACCTTATGACCTATCTCGTATTGCCCTGGAAGAGCTCGGACAGAGGTCTCTATCGAACATGTAACCACGCAATTCCAAAGGTGGAAAGGTATTGGCTGCATGACAGGTCGATAAGAATAATCGGAATTCCGAGGTTCATAATCACGGTTAGGCAGAATTTCGAAAGTAGAATTATTGGATCAGCCTAGCATCACCTAGTTCTCCCTATTAGTCCACTTTGCACTGCTTCATTCAGACAAAGTTGTCTATTATACTTTGCTAATTGGTCCTAGTTAATCATCGGCAGCATTCGAACGAAGGCTGAGGGTTAACAGGCAGGCAGAATCCATTTTTTTGAATGTTAGTCAGGTTAAGGCTCAATGTGGTCTCTTATTTGAGCAATATTACGTCACCTGTAACACCTGCGTCCCGTTGATCATCGATTTCCTTGAGCGGGCGCCAGTAACGCCTCCATTCGTCCATGTCGCGAGCCAGAGTCGTCCAATGGCTCGTACTCGCTTGAGAAGCACAAGTCAAAGCACTTCTTTCGTTCAGAAATTTCGTGAAGTGGTCCGACCATCTCGCTGGCGGCCGTCCTGGTGTTCGTTTGACGTCTCGAGCGATCCAATCAATAACCGCCCTGAGCCAACGGTCATCACCATATCGCATAACGTGCCTGGCCATCTGATCTTTGATTTCTTGGCCTAATCAACGACATCCCTGATCTTCATTCGTTGACGGAATTCGGAATTCCGGAATCCCTTCTACACCTGCGTGTACAGGAAAAATACCAGCTTCGTCCTTTCCAATGCGCGTTGAGTGACGCTGCCATCTTGTTCATCCAGCATTCTGCTTCCTCATCCTGCGTAGAGTTCAAGTCTCTGAGGCTTATGTCTCACGGCATGAGGGACGAAACTGTCGAAAAAGTGGGGAGACGGGCAGTAGGAACGATTTTCTGTGATCGATTCGGCGCACTCGGCTGTCGCGGACCATTCGTTCGCCGTTATTACAGCTCTAGCGTTCTTCATACAGCTCACTCGATATGCGATCCTTATTTTAGGCATGATTCCACTGTTACTTCCTTTGTTCTTGCATTTCTCGCCTGTTGCTGCGTCCTGCTACATCCTTTCGCGCGCGGCGTCCCTCTCGCCGCGACGCGACAATTTCGTTATTACTGCACCCCACCCGAAAAAGTGGGCGCGTAGCCAGATGTTCTTTGTCTCCTTCAGTGCTCCCTAGCGGCGCATTCAAGCAGTAACAAGTCCGAAATGAAAGTTTAGTGATTTGAACTTTTTTTAAAAATAAGTATTTTCATTTTCTCTTTCATTTTGAGGTACTCTTTTCTCATTTTGTGCTATCTACACATAGGGTAATGCTGAAATACTCACGTCCGGTTTTAGGGTTCCTCGAAAAGTGGCCGGTCAGGTTTCAATCAGCGTTCTTTCTGGTCAAGCAACCCATCCTAGTGATCGGACCGCATTACTTCTTAGAAACAGCAAAAAAATCAGTAACCTTAGTTAGAAGCTCAGCCTTCAGCAACTCCCTACATAGGGCTGCTTCTAGGGACAGTACATACTACAGTACAATAGTCACGCTTTTTGGAATGCATTTTTTCGTGAAACCAGTAGCTTCTATAACAGGGCCTACTGATTTTTTATGTTTTACTGCGAATGTGTACTCTCAAGTATGTTTATCTTATCACTAAAGTTCGTCACTGCTATTTTTTGGCATTTCAGACTAACTGCAACAGCACTATTGCAGTGCGTTCCCATTGTGAACATGGTTCGAATTCGTCATCAAGAAAAGGAATTCTACCTCAGTTGGAGATTCATTACTAGTTTCTGTTCATTACTACGTTACCTATATCCTCGATTCGAGTATGCAGCCTTTCTCACGATACTCACGATTATTTCCGCCGGAGGATGTAAGTTTTCGATAGCGCTATCAATTTGTTACCTATTACTATTGTGTTTTGTAATATGCTACTATCAGGCTCTACAGATCTTACTGTAACTGCCTTTCATTTACTGCAAACTCACGCTTCATCTCAGCTCGCTAGTTCAAGAGGTCAGACATATAGGGGGTACCCTTTAAAAACTCTCTAAAGGGTCCTCTAATCGGGAGACGGGAGTGTGGTGCAGCAGGATCGAAATTGTGGCGTTGCGGCGAGAGGGACGCCGCGCGCGAAGGATTGTAGCAAAATGCAGCAGTAGGTGAGAGTTGCAAGAACAGTAGAATCTGTAGAATCATGTCAGTAGGATCAGTAATTGTAGAATCATGTTTTAAATAATGATCGCATATCGATTGAGCTCTCCCGGAAACGGGCAATAGGATCGGTTTTGTGTAATCGATTCGCCGCACGCGGCTGTCGCGGACTCTTCGCTTCGCCGTTATTACAGCTCTAGCGTTATTCATACAGCTCAATCGATATGCAATCATCATTTTAAGCATGATTCTACTGTTACTGATCCTACCGACATGATTCTACTGATTCTACTGTTCTTGCATCTCTCAGCTGCTGCTGCATTCTGCTACATTCTTTCGCGCGTGGCGTCTCTCGCTCCGCGGCACGACAACTTCGATCCTACTCCACCACACCCCCTCTGATCACAGGTCGAACATGAACCTTGGCAAAACAGCAACAACTAATACAAAGCGCATAAGTAAAAGGGAGCGTGATTAGGCATCCATCACATTTTTTAGCCGAATGTTTTGAATGTTTGCATTTCGTGCCACCTTCCAGATGAAGTTGTCAGTTATAAATCGGGTACGATTATCGGTAGCTTCTATATGGCCTTATTGAGCAAAGATCAACCTTATTTCTGGAAACTCTTCTGGAAAGCAACATTGATCTATCTCGGGCAATGTCTAGTAAGTTTACTTTGTACTAGCAATCAAATCTTCAACTATATTTTAAAAAATTGAGAAATTAGCCATATTTCTAACATGTCCCCACATTCGCTCTTAACACGTTGACGACAGTGTCGCGCAATGGTGCGCGACAGCCAGTCTGTCTCATGGGACGATGTCGCGCAATGCTGCGCGACGGTGCATTCTTCGATTAAAGTGTGTGTGCTCGTTCCGTTTTTTGTGCAGATTTTCAATTTAGGCTTAT